GGAAGTGCCATATTGGATATGGAGTCTACAGTCTTGTTTTTGCTGGTGTTCTGGGAAGTCTGAAACTGAAGGGTGATTTATGAAGTATTGCATATGCACACAGGCTTGGTGCAGCTGAACATCAGGTTTTTATCTTCAATATACAGACTGCAGGAACCTAGAGCCTGATTTCCCTGCCTCCAGCTCACAGCAGGTGGTAAAAACTGGGTCAATCTGTTCTGTAGGCAGTGAGGTATTAATGACAGAATGTAGAGCTCAGCAGTAATTATATTCATTCTGAAGGCCACCCCCCAGGCAACACAGAAGCTAGTGAGCTATTTTTTGTTTTGCAAACATCACGCTTTTAAACAAAATACTTGGTTTCGGTGAACACCTGCCTTTTCAAATGGTTAACATCTGCCATCTGACCAAAGTATGTACCCATTCATTGTGGCGACCGATTTCAGGAGCGTCATTTGCTGCAATTCCAATCCTGTCATTTATACAATACGTAGCAAATTAACAAATTGAATAACTAAGACGGCCTCGGTAAGACTGGACTCGTGACAAACTCTCAGTGAAATAAAAAGAAACCACCGAGATCGATACTAATTTCTTTCCGATTGGCAAGGACCACTCGGGCATTTCAAAAGCCATTCCAAAAGGTGAGGGACACTGGTCCAGTTCCCTTAACTCTTCCAAGTCCAATAGGCTACAGAAAGTTGGGCTTTGTAGATAAAGGACTCCTGGTTCTGAAACTGACATCTGCCAATTTTGATTGCACTGGGATGTAAATCACTAATAAACAGATCAATACAACTGATCAGCTTTAGACGTTTCTGCCCCATTTTAGCTTGGGAAAATACCCCATGTATTTCCAAAATATCCCTCCGCAAAAAATGATACACTCTCAATGTGCTTATTAACCACTTTCCAAGCTAAACAGTATTAGGTACAACAAATGATCCATTTATAAAGAGACAGCAGGTCATGACAGATGCAATACCTCAAAAATCCAATTGGTTACATTTGCACTAATGTACCCAATTAAGGAAAGATTAAACTTGCAACAGGGCTAATAATTATTAACCATGTACAACTCAAGAGCTGCAAGAACACCTAAAGACAATCTTCCAATGAATATGTCTGAAGTAAATCAGAAATATACGGTCAAGGACAGCAGATATACACAAAATCACAATACAAAAAAAACCGAGAAGCAACATCACCATTTTCTGATTGTTGTGGACATCAGGTCAGCCTGAAAACTATGTGGAGTATCAGGACCGATTGGCCACATTCAAAACTGAATTCTTGACAGACATGACAAACTGCTACGAGTGCAGTCAGTACAGAGACTCCTCTGATAGTCTCCAGATCAATGCTTGGAGGTACAAAAAAAAACAATGACTCACTGTTTTAATATTTTATTAAAGCAAGCATTTTTCAATCCATTACTTTTCACAATGCTCAGCTATCAAATCTCACTGCCAACTAAAACAGTGTTGATATTCTGGGCATTCACACAGTAAAAGGAATAAAAAGTAAGAAAGGAATGATCTGTTTCCTGTTTTGCAATAAATTTTCAAACCCCCGATTAATTTTTTTATTTTTAATTTTTCATTTTTTTCAATTTTTTTTATATCTAGGCCTAGCATTAGCTTTTCTAGACCTGGCTTTGGTTGATCTGGTTTCCTTTCCTTTTTTTATAGATTTTATTATTTTTTTTGCGATGTTTTGTGTGTTTTGGCTTTTTTCAATGTTTAGTTTTTTTTCCCATTCGGTGAAGCAAGTTTCAAGGTCCCCCATACCTACAAAAAAAAAAAAAGATCTCCGTTAGCAACAGCAGGAAAGCTTGCCAATAACCTCACACTTTAGCTGCTCATGTACGGACTACATAGTCCCTAATATGAATCAACTGCTTCAGCTAATTTACTACAAGAGGCAAAAAGACTATCTTCATCCTTCATCTAAAACCACACAGAACTTCTCACATGAAAACCCGCTCAATATAAAAGCAAACAATGCATTGGCTCCAACATTTAAATTCCGGACGCTTTGTAAAATGTTAGACCTGATCTCAAGCTAGACGTTAATCTGCAGCCATGTACTGAGCCCAGAACAGAAGGGTGGAAAACAGCCCTGTAACAGGCAATGATCCCTACCTTGGCTTAGACACTTGGAACACCAGCAGAATTAGTCACAGATTTCTGAGCAGCCTCTTTGGCCTGGTGAGCCTGCAGCACAGCCACTGCTTCATCAACCTAAAAGGCAAAAGACATTAAAACTGAGAACTCTGGAGGGCTGTTCGTATGCACTCTTTGGCATAAACTGGGTTCAGGGGCTTA